GTCTGCTCTCACTCACACCCCTTGCGGTGTTTTCCGGGATCGTGCCTCTGCCTCTCCACTCGGGATCCACGCAGCAGCAGCAGATATGGCTGATCATCACCGGACGGGACGGCGCTGCGTCTGAGCGAAAGTTGACCCAAATAATGATCCAWTACAGGCTAACAAGGCGCTCTGTCGGCCGACGGGACACGTCGACACACCGAGCGACTCTGGGATAAGAAATATCCGACTGTGGGGGAGCGGGTACTATCGTGTTTTTATTTTATTTTTATTTTTTAACACGGGGAAGTAGTTGGAGGAACTTGTCGCAGTGGCTTCATCCCACCGGATTACCGCACGAGAGGAACAATAGTCTCCTACAGGATCACCAGCAGGTCGGTGAGCTTCTGTTCATCACGGTGGGCCTATTTTCACCCCCACGGCGCACCTGAAACWAACCGTTTAAGACGTGGCAGGTGTTAATTTGAACACAAATGATCTGAACACGGGTCGAGGGAGGAAATCTTTGCGGCTCAAATGAAGCGAGACCGAAAGCGCAACGCAGCTCTAATGATTTCTCTCAAACACAACACCAGGTTCGCCGCAGTTTGGAGTTTCTGAACCGGTCTGGGTGGCTGAGCTGAGAGTAACTTTTTTTTTTCTTCCTTCCCAACACCAGGTTCGCCGCAGTTTGGAGTTTCTGAACCGGTCTGGGTGGCTGAGCTGAGAGTAACTTTTTTTTTTCTTCCTTCCCCTGCCTGGTTCTCCTCCTCCCGGACGTGTGCGTCAGGAAATCACGGGGAGTGAGGGACTGACCGAAAGCTCCAAAAGGCCCCGAGAAGGTAGAGGAATCTCAGGGAGTCAGGGTGCTGGAGGTGCAGGGAGATGCAGTTTTTCATGTCTCACAGCGCTTCTTCTTCTTCTTCTTCTTCTTCTTCTTCTCCTCTGCGTGTTGGGGAGGATCATTTAACGCTAAAGTATTTATGCGCACCTCACTGCGGGGATGTCCAGATTGGAAATCAAGCGCGTGCAAAAATAAACTCTAAAATCCGCCCTCGTGATGCACCAGAGCAGACAAACATGATCAAGAATGTAAAGATACTATAACTGAGGTACAACTTATTTAAAGTCCTGAAAGGCTTAAACTGATTTGACGTTTTACATTGTTTTTAGCCTGTCTGTTAGCATAATATCTACTGGACCACAAGGCCATCCTTAGTGAAACTTGGTGAAATAAATCACTTCATGTCTATCTACAGCTGATTACTCTTTGAGTCTGTCAGATTCAAGATGGCTGCTACAGCCAGCTGATAGTGAAAATCACAAACATGGCTGTAATTCAGTCAGTGTTGCAGATGTTCAGCTAAAATTTGGTGTGACCTTAGCTGAGACTAATCCAAAATATATGTTGTGAGCACTGATAGATTGTGCCAGACTTTTCTTTAAAATTTTGCTGTGAACCATATGCAGTCAGCACTTGTCTGTTAGTAAAATATTTTTGGAACCACTACGCAAATTTTATTGAAACCTTCAGGAAASAATCACTGGATRTGCCTCTACAGCTGATTAAGTTTCCGAGSTAATCCAATCTAGGACGGCCGACACAGCCAACTGAYATTAGAAAACATAAAAATKGCTTTAATTCAGTMMTTTCAACAGATATTGAGTGGGTCTTTGGTGTGCTTGTAGCAGAAAGTGATTTCCATAACATACTTTGAGTACATATAGATCACCCAAGATTTTTGTTTAAAACTTTGGCACATAAACAGCATACTGTATGCTTTCCTTCAAGGAAAACTAAGTATATACATAGTGAGAAATTCTGTCTACTTAAGGTTGTTTCGCTTGTTTCCCCTCTATTGTTCTTATGGTTGTTTTTTTTTTTTTTTTTTTTTTTTTTTTTTAAGTTTCTTTCCATGACTTCTTCTCACTGTCATCCTGGATGATGAAGTCGTGATGAGGAGAAGTCGCCTATTTGAAGAATGGACTATTGTTAGGTTTGATCTGGTTCTGTGTGCATTCGTGTGTGGGATTCTGAAGTTGGGTAGATTTGTGCATTACTCATGCATCCCCAGGCTGCTGCTGCGTGTAAAAAGAAGGGTTTTGGAGTGGCTTCTTTTTGCCTCCGCTGTGCCACATCGCATGTTATGTGCAGGCACGAGAAAGAGAGAGAGAGGTGTATATATATATATATATATATGCTGGGTGAAGAACTGAAGGTTTCAGGACTGAGAAACGAATGCAACCTTTAATTGAAAAATGGAAAAACATCCTTGAAAGCAAATGATGCAAGGTCTGTTGGTGCAGCTGTAATGTCACTAGTTCTTTGTGTGTGTGTGTGTGTGTGTGTGTGTGTGTGTGTGTGTGTG